CAGAGCACGCCGCACCATCACACTGACTCAGTTACACATGGTGCAGCAGGTCCTTCAGCGCTTCGGCTTCACCTGGTCCTCAACACAGGCCACTCCTCTGGCTACAGGTCACTGGCTCTCAGCTCCACTTTCGCACGAGTCCATAGAGCCGAGTGGTCCTTACCTAGAGCTAGTGGGCTGCCTCATGTACCTGATGACCTGCACACGTCCTGACCTTGCGTACCCTCTTGGCCTTTTGGCTCGCTACGTGCACGTGGATGTTGCTAAGAGAGTACTGCGCTACTTGTGCAGTACATCAGACATGGGGCTCGTGCTTGGAGGACGGGGCGACGTTGTCCTCACTGGGCACTCGGACGCTTCTTGGGTTGACGACCAGGCTACGCAGCGGTCGTCACAGGGTTACACCTTCAGTCTTGGCTCTGGCTTTGTTTCTTGTCAGTCTACTCTTCTGTTCTCAGCTCCAGTTGTGAGGCTGAGATCTACGCCACAGCCATGGCTGCACAGGAGTTACGCTGGCTTACCTACTTGCTGACCGACTTGGGAGAGAGGCCTCGTTCTCCTCCAGTTCTGTACGTCGACAACAAGGCTGCCGTAGCCTTGTGTTAGGACCACAGACTGGAGCACAGAACGAAGCACATCGTTCTGCGTTACTTCCTTGCTCGAGAGTTGCAGCAGCGTGGTCAGCTTCGTGTCGCTCACGTGCCCACCCGGGCCAACACTACTGATCTGTTCACCTAGGCCCTTCCGGCTGGTGATCATCAGCGCTTCTACACTGCTCTAGGCCTGTTGCCTACGTTTCCTCAACTGCTGTAGACTCTGGTTTTATTGTGATCTATATATGTATAGCTGCATGTTTACTCTTGCTAGGTAGTGATCACTGTACTACTGTTGTTGCATATATAACTCTGCATGTGAACTGGTCTTGTGACCCCTTTGCTTGTGCTGGAGCGTGTGGTGACGTTGTGATCCACCCCGAGCTTGCTTTGCTTTTCTTGACTGGTCTTGTGACCTCTTGTTCTCCCCCACTTTCCCTATGGGGGTGTGTCGAACTATGTATGATTTATAATTAGGTTTAGGCTTTAGTGGGGTATCCAATATAGGGTACAACCCCTTAGGGTTCTCATCCTTGTACCCAACTCCCTCGATAGTCAACTTTACTTACCTACCCTCTATCACAGCAAAAGAAGTCGTGCTGTGCAAATGACCAATGTTGACACGCTGCTACGGACACCACCTAGGAGTTATTTGGAAAGCATTCAATTGCTGTTCTTGGCCCACATAATGCTCGGGCTTGTCTGAGCGTCCCACGAGAATGGCTGCGAGCAGAAGACGAAGCATCACCTCATACCATTCCGACCCTGCATGAACCTCCCCAAGGTTTTCTTTATTTATGGAGCGTGCTTGTGGCACAGATTAAACTCCTCCTTTTGCGATTTCCATTCAGTAAAATTCGGAAGATTTGCTTCAGTCTTTCGCAAGGCTTCATGCAAGCATTTGATATTCTTCTAGATCCTCCAATGCTAATTCCGTTTCTAACGATTCATACACAAATGTGGATCTATGCCAATGCTAGGGCTGGAACCCAAACACTGGAAGAGGAATAGGAATATATTATGATCTTAATCATTTATGAACAAAATTACAGAATAACAGAGATCATAATAAACAAACCAACGGCGGTATGGCGTACGTGGTGAACCCGAACACTGGAAAGCAGGAACTATTTGTTTCGCAAGTGATTTTTAACTGCACTTTACTAGCAGGTGTCTGCCCAGAAACATCTCTAGACCGGACAACAGAACATTCAACAACACCCTTGGTTGTGGTCCAGCTCATGTACTGTACTTCACCACCACCCCAAACCTGCACCACTCAAATCATTGCGAGAATTCACTTCGAATCGAGTGGTTGACAATTCCCAAGGGAGGAAGCACATCACTGATGGAGAGGTTGGAGACAACAACAGAACCACGTACCGCAGTTCAACGTTCTGTAAACTTCAATACCTGTTCAGATAGCTCTATTTTGGGGTACCCGTGCGTTTGATTAATGACCAGTAACAGACCAGGGGATGGATTACAACAGAACACACGAAGGCTGGCAGACATATTCGTCCCCCCATTGCTGAAGTGTTAACGAAGCTCCACCTACCTCAGACAGCCTTAGTTTTTCCTTCATGATTCCTTGCTGGTCGTCTCAGCGTGGTCGTGAGTGTCAGCCTGTGTGAATGTGCTGCCTTGGGGGGGTATGTTATTTACCTTTCGCCACTGCCCTGACCTTCCCAACGTTTTTCTCGTCGTGTGCGACGGAGACTCGTCATTCGCGGGTAAAACCGTCTGTCAACGTTTTTAGCTGGCCGCGCATGCAAAGCTGACGTAATCGTCGACTTTCAAACACATTCGGCCACGGTTTTTAAGCTCGTTTCTACTGCTTATTGCAAATTCATCTCAACAGTCTCTAACTGGCGGTACTCGGAACACGTTTCTGGCAAGTTGATAAGTGTGTGCACTAGGGGCGACGCGTCAATGATTTTCGCAACCGTATGGCTCAATAGTGACCCTTTCGTTTCAGTCAATACACTCGCGAGGCGCCTTTCGTTCCACAGATATACGCGCTTCATTCCGGGTTGCGTCTGCTGAGTCCTCCGATGTCGTGCGATGAACTGTTACGATTAAATCGTAGTCATCTGGCAGTTTCGGAAATAGTTTATCGCGTTCCGGCGGCGGCAGATTAGAGCGCCTATAATCCGAAGCTAATTCGTGTAATTTATAGTGCATATAATGGTGCAGCCTTAGGCAAACAACGATCAGATACTATAATCGTCTCTTCCGCCAGTCAAATACATATACCCGCTAGAAGAAGAGCGGAATTTGCGGATCCTAACGGGGAGTTGGCAGCATGGCGAAGGTTGCAGATCTTTTAATGGGTCTCGGCATTTCCCACGGCACTGATTTGTTACTCGCCCACAGCCCGTTCAGCGAATTCGACGAACTCCTTCGCAAAACGCTGACGAAGGTCCCTCACAACATGCAATGGTTCTCCTGGGTATGTCAGCTCGCTTCGTTTCTCGCCTTGTCGTTCGCCTTGTTTCTCTCCTTGTTTTCATGACGCACCGTCTGATTCCATTCGTTTCGAATTCTCATAGGCAGCTCCTGTAATTACCCTCTTCCCCACCTTCATCCTCGCGTTTCAACCCAGTCGGGCTGGTCCTTGCTTTTTGCTACCCTCTTCTCAAAATGCATATCCCGTCCGCTGGTCCTTGATTTCTGTTGCCTGTTTAGTTTGCATTGAAGCGTTTATACGTCTCTATATTCCTCCTCTGTACACATAAGTTACTTCTTTATTTTTTGTCAGAGTTGTTTATGTACCACCTAATCATGCGTACCTTGATGCTGCAGGGTGTTTTTGAGAATTCTCAAAAACACCCTAATCATGCGTACCTTGATGCTGCAGGGTGTTTTTCAGAATTCTAAAAAACACCCTAATCATGCGTACCTTGATGCTGCAGGGCGTTTTTGAGAATTCTCAAAAACACCCTAATCATGCGTACCTTGATGCTGCAGGGTGTTTTTGAGAATTCTCAAAAACACCCTAATCATGCGTACCTTGATGCTGCAGGGTGTTTTTGAGAATTCTCAAAACACCCTAATCATGCGTACCTTAATGCTGCAGGGTGTTTTTGAGAATTCTCAAAAACACCCTAATCATGCGTACCTTGATGCTGCAGGGTGTTTTTGAGAATTCTCAAAAACACCCTAATCATGCGTACCTTGATGCTGCGGGGTGTTTTTAATTCTCAAAAACACCCTAATCATGCGTACCTTGATGCTGCAGGTTGTTTTTGAGAATTCTCAATAACACCCTAATCATGCATACCTTCCTGCTTATCTTGCGGAACCACACACGGCTACAGACTTGGGGATTATAAAAGTCTGCAATTCCGAACCCCTTCCCCTTTTCCCATTCCCTTCTCCCCAACCTCCACCCCTCTCCCCCTTTTCCCCCTTCCTCCCACCCCTCTCCGCCCGCCCTTCACCCCTCTCTCCCATTTCCCCGTTCCTCCCACCCGTCTTCCCCCCCTCTACCCCTGCTCCCCATTCCTCCCTTCCTACCGACCACCTTCCCTTCCATGTCTGCAGGGCTTTGATCAAGTGATGTTCCCATTCCACATCCACCAAGGATGCATATTCTCCATCGCTGCACATGAGTGCAATATTCTTCCTAAAACTCTTTTGACACTTGCCCCCCGCACTCTTCCCCCCTCCCCCCTCCACTCCTCTCCCCCTCCCTCCTTCCCCCCAACCACTGTCCTCTCCATGACAGCAGGGCTTTGACCAAGTGGTGTTCCTCTTTCACAAATACCAAGAATACATATTCTCCAAAGCCCCATACGAGTTTGCTCGTTCTTTCTAAAACTCTTTCTGCACTTGACCCTTCCCCTCATCCCCCCTTCTCCTTCCCCACCCCCCCTACCCCCCTCCACTCCTCTTCCACCTTCCCTCCTTCCTCCTAAACACCTTCCTCTCCATGTCTGCAGGGCTTTGATCAAGTGATGTTCCTATTCCACGTCTACCAAGGGATACATATTCTCCATAGCAACGTACCAGTGTTTCACATTGCACTTGCCCCTGCAACCCCTCCCCCCCCCCCCGTTTCCCTTTTTTTTTCTACGTCTGCAGGGCTTTGATCAAGTGATGTTCCTATTCCACATCTACCAAGGTTACATATTCTCCATAGCCGCATACGAGTGCTTCACTCGCAAAGAAGCGCGCAGCAAACTCACAGCCCTCCGAAACCTCTTCCTCTCCTCCGCCTCCACCCCCTCCCCCCCCACAAAACCTTCCGACCTGCCCGAAGCTGCCCGCGAAACCCTCGAAACGACCATGAAATCATGGGTGGTGAACTCCCGAGGAGTGGTCCCAGCTCGACTCATCCTGATCCTCCATCCAGGTGCCCCTAAGAAGTTTCTGACCAAGGAAGATCAGGCTCCGGATTTTGTAATGGCAGCCGAGGGCAGCGGCACAGCCCGGCTCAAAAGCGCTCTGGAGGAAATCGATGAAAACGACGACGATTTCGTGTTCACCATTCGCAAGCCGGGGTCTGGGAACAACGGGACGGGCGACGACGACGACGGGGAGGATTTCGTATTCAACATCCCCAAGAAGATCGTTCAGGCAGTTGCTGCGCCGATCATCTTCACCAGCCCGCATCCCAGGCAGACGCCTGGGTTCGGCCAGGGCCCGACTGGAGCTAGTGGGAACAGCGGGAGCAGCAACCGGGTTCCCTCGGGACAACAGTCTGGACGAAAGAGCCCTGCCATGTCTGGTGCTAAGGTTTCCCCTGATGACGCAGCCGCAGCGGGAGGGGGAGAGGGAGGGGGAGGCGAGGGAAACCCGGCCCAGAGCGGACTGATAGCCCGAGCCAGAGCTGCTTGGTCTGTACAGGTGGGGCGTTCGGGAGGGAAGGACGGTGGGGGGACGTGGGAAGGGGAGAAGATCCGGGGACAGGTGGGGAATTTGGCCCCGTCTGGGCTGACTTGGGAGGAGGAGATTGCGTCTCAGCTGGCGTCAGTAGGGGTGCTGGTGGGGCCGGCTAAGGCCCAGGCCATGGCTGCTGCTGCCGCTGCTGTGAAAGAAGGGAAGGGCGGCGGAGGGGATGGGTCTTGCGGCGGTGCTGCTGGTGGCGGTGCTGGTGGAGTAGGAGGAGGAGTTGGAGGGGCGGGGGCAGGGGGGGGGGCAGCAGGAGCAGGAGGAGGAGGGGGAGCAGCAGCAGGTGCCACGACTCCTAGGAGTAGGCTGAACCAGCCACCAATCGATCACGCTCGCTCGTTCTCCACTGCTGGGTCAGGGTCCGGGTTTGGCATGCAGGGGTCGCGGCTCATAGACCGTGTGTACGTGGGCATGCCGGCACAGGCGGCAGGCAGGTTGTTCACCCGCAACATGTCCATGCCCAATGGGGGAAGGCCAGCTGGCGGTGCGGTCGGAGCTGGGATTGGCGGGGGGCTTGGAAGGCTGGCTCGGGGGCTAAAAAAGACGTTTAACCTGCAGAGCAGTCATGATAAACTGATTGGGTGAGGGTGATTTGATTTGAGTTCTAAGGGGGGGCTAGAGGGTTGGGGTTTGGGGGTCGAGGGTTTTGGCATGCAGGGGTTGCGGTTGATGGACCGGGTATACGTGGGCATTCCGGCACAGGCGGCAGGAAGGTTGTTCACCCGCAACACGTCCATGCCCAATGGCGGGCGGCCAGCTGGCGGCGCGATCGGAGCTGGGCTGGGCGGGGGCCCTGGGGAGGCTGGCTAGGGGGCTGAAAAAGACGTTCAATTTGCAAAGCAGCCATGACAAGCTGATTGGTTGAGCTGTTGGGGGGATTGGGATCGCAGAAGTTGGAAAAGGGACATTTTTGCTGTGGGGGGTTCAATAGAGTGCTGGGGATGGGCTGAAAAAGGCATTCAAGCTGCAGAGCAGCCATGACAAGCTGATTTGGTGACTCCATTAGATTCAAGAGACAGGTGGTGGGACGAGTAGTTTCTTGGTTTTTTTAGGCGGCTCGGAGAGTGCAGCAAGGGTTGGTCAAACGTAGGCTCGGAAGCTTGGGAGGCTGGTGATGGGGTTGTTTGCGACATTCGCTCTGCAAATTAACCATTATAAGGTGATTGGGTGGTTTGCAGAGGGTGGGGCGTCTCAGCAGCTAATGCAGAGTCTGGTGTGGGGCTTGGTTATGGTGTTTGAGTTGTGTGTAGAGTCAAGGAGCCGCTACCTGCTGCTACCTGCTGCTGGGTTTGATTGTTTTTGCCTCAATTCGCCGATGCGGCACATGCCTAATGTGCTTGATCAGTAGAAACTGCTGCGATGTGATTGGCCAATTAAACAAGACGGGGAGAGGGGTGGGTGGAGGAGGGGAGGAGGTGTGGGAAGGAGGTTATTCGGGCTTGTGCTGGCTGGTAAATAGCTTTGACAGACATCCGTGTTTGTGGAGGCACCAGCTGGAGCAGCAACAGTGGCAGCTGCGGCACAACGATGAGCTGGTTGGTCTGGCAGTGTTTGGAAAAGAATGTGGGATGGTACTACCAGGTTGGAAATCAGCCAGCCACACATGGATTGGTGCATTTTGACTGTCACATGAACTGATTTTTAGCTACACGAATAAAGCCTAAAGAGGTTTGATGATATAGAATACATCTAGCAGGTAGACTGGACAAGAAGCAGGCTGAACAGATTGGGGTGTTACCTTGGGGATGGTAGTGGGTGTTAATCAGTTGCTTTTGTTTTAGTTTTATGCTAACAATCTACACCAGACCCATATTCGTGAAACAGATAGTGACGTGGAACATCTACATGTCGGCTCGTCGACGTGGTGGCAGCCAGGGCTTGCGCGTCTCCGTTTCGCTTGATTCCCGTGCCTAAGCCAGGCTCCTCGAGAATTTCAGCCACACAAGACGCTCTCGGGAAAAGCAACTGCTGCCCGTGCGTAATCCATGAAATTCGTCGACCAATCGGATGCCCACTAGCTTCACTTGCTGGCCTTCGCTGACCGCGGCGGTCATGCTGGGATATTCAAGTTGCCACGCGGCGTAGGCTGACAAGCGGTTCCGCAATTTTCCTAGGAGGACGGAGGGGACTGGTTGAGCTATGCCATGTCGACCTTCAGGAATTTGCTAGCGCAGGCATTTGGGCACCACTGATGCTTGATCAAAAGCCGCAACTGGGCAGCCCGAAGCGTGCTACTAGAGTGAGCGAAGGTATGTTTGAATCGAAACCTGCCCCAGAAAGTAATCTCGAGGCCACGTCCTCCTCTGAGACTCGTCGCTTCCCCTTACCCCATCTGCTTCCCGTTTTTCCCATCACGCTTTCCTAAATATCGAAACCCATCCGTCACAATCCTTCTTTTCTAGTTTCCGTGCCTCGACTGTCGAGGTTTCTGCCAGTAACTCTTTCAGCTCAAGCTCCGTCCTTGTGCTCCGCATCCTCGGAGCTTACCTTACGCGGTATCAGTGAAAGAATTAGTTTGCAGAGAGGAGTTTCTGTGTGCTTCTAAACACCTGCCGGTGTTTACACACTCCGAAAGTTTGTCAATCGGGCTTCGCAAAAGAGGCTGTGCTGAAACCTTCTAGTGAAAGGTTCACCGTGGCTTCACGCCAATATATTCTCCTCCACCGTCGCAGCCGCGCAGCGATGGCAGTCGCCTCATCCGCTGCGACCACGACGGCGATCGCTTCACGGGGAGCGTCCGTCGCATCACGGGGCCTTTCCCGCGCCGCCACCTCCATAGAAGCCACTCAGGCAGCCCTGCTGGCCGCAAACAACGCCGCTACTCACGGCGCGCACGCTTCGGGCTCTTTCACCTGCCTGCAATGGTCGTCGACTCTCAGAAGCCAATCGCAACGGGCAAGTCCCTTCTCTAGTTCATCTTTCTTCTCAGGCGGTCTTTCTCGGGACTCGTTGTTATCATCGCACCCAAGCGGAGCTGCGACGCGTCTCGCGTCTACCTTTTCCGCGCACGCGTCTTCTTCCGACTCCTCCGCGAGCGCAAGCCCTATCGGTTCCGCCTCTGCCCCCCGCTCCGCTGTCGCTGGCGCAACTCCCGCCGTCCGCCAGGGTGCAGTGCTGCCGACATCGGAGTACACTCTTGATGAGTCTTCTGAATCCTCGTCGTCCGATTCCGAATCCGACGGCTCTGGTTCACGCGCGCTTGAGGCGCTGTACCAGGCCCGCGCCAAGAGCGGATCATCTGCGGGTTCAGGGGTTGGGCGGGAGTTTCCTCGGGGTTTAACATCCGATTCGGAAGCGGAGGTTTTTGATAGCGAGGATGAGGGGAGCAGCGACGAGGAGGGAGAGGTGGTGCTGGTTGACGTGTCCGATACTGACGTGGACAGGGATGAGCTAGCGATCGAGAGCCTCGGCCTCGCGACAATTCTTGAGCAGTCGCTGCTGAAGCGAGGAATCGCACGGCTCTTCCCCATTCAGGTATGACCTAAAGATCAGTCTGGGCATTCATCTTGATCCAGTTGGATCGTTTTCATTCGTAGTATGCCCGTTGTTTGTCCGCCTTTCATGCAATCGCGGCTGAGGGTTTGACGGGTTTTGAGTATGAGTTCCGTGCTCCGGTAATCGCATCACGTGGTGCTTGCGCCATCATTAGAGGGGCGCAACATCACTGCGCGTGTCCAGTTGACTCTACCCTGTAACCTCTCTCATCCCTCCCACTCTTCCCGCTCTTCCACCTTACCTCGTCCCAAACCCTTCCCCTTATGCTCCGCCAATGGCAGCACGCGGTGCTGGCTCCGTCGATGGAGGGGCGCGACATCATCGCGCGCGCCAAGACGGGCACGGGGAAGACGTTGGCGTTCGGCATTCCCATCCTGGAGCGCATCACGCGCGAGATCGAGGAGAACAACGGCAGGTGCGTGGCTTGAAAGTGTTAGCTGTTAGCTGTCTGAATGTGCGTTGTGAGTTTTTTTTTTGTTATGTTTTTTGTTTTTGTTTTTGTGTGTTTGTAACCTAGATTTGATTTTTTTCCTACTTGTTTTGGTTTCCTTTTCTGCCCTCTGTCCCAAGATGGCCGTCTCCGTCATAAGGCGGCTCACTAGTGCAGTCAGTGGATGAAACAGCGTGTGTTTACGTACTTGATTGGTTAAGAACTTTAGAAAGACGAAGAAGTTCACGTTTCATGTCTATTCGTTACAAAGATTCAGATCGGTTTAGATCGAAACGAACGTGTTGCCGGCTGATGAAAAAAACACCTCAGTTATGCAGAGTCACCAAAGATTGAGTCAAAGATGACTATCATCCCCTCCTCTCCTCGCGCACTCCTTTTCCAGCCTATCACTAACCCATGCTCCCTTCTTACCCCTCTCCCTCCCCCCTCTCTCCCGCTTCCCCTTTCCCCCCCAACCCCCCTCATCCCGTTCCGCACCCACAGGCGCCCGTTCCGCGCGCCCCGCTGCCTGGTCCTCGCGCCGACGCGCGAGCTAGCCAAGCAGGTGGAGCGCGAGTTCTGCGAGTCCGCGCCGAACCTCTCCACGGCGTGCGTGTACGGCGGTGTCTCAATCGAAGCGCAGATGCGCCAGCTCAAGCGCGGCGTCGACGTGGTCGTGGGCACGCCCGGGCGCCTGATCGACCTGATCGAGCGCGGCACGCTGAGCCTGCGGGAGATCCAGTTCATGGTGCTGGACGAGGCGGATCAGATGCTGGCCGTTGGATTCGAGGAGGATGTGGAGCGGATCATGGAGAACTTGCCGGAAGGCGGGCGCATTCAGATGAGCCTGTTCTCGGCGACCATGCCGTCTTGGGTCAAGAATCTCAGCCGGAAGTACCTAACCAGCCCGCTTACAATCGACCTGGTGGGTTGAGCTGTGCAATTCCTGTGTTTGAGGGGGTTGAGGTCGGTTCCCTTGGTAGGGGTCGTGTAGGCGGGCGCATTCAGATTAGCCTGTTCTCGGCGACCATGCCTTCTTGGGTTAAGAAGCTCAGCCGCAAGTACCACACCAGCCCGCTCACCATCGATTTGGTGAGCTGTTCTGTGCGGTGGGAGGGGGTTATAGTCGGTGGAGGGGGTCGTGGGTCAAGAAACTCAGCCGGAAGTATCTCACCAGCCCGCTCACCATCGACCCGATGGGCCCCCTCTCCCTACTTCTCCTCCTCTTCCGTAGCAGTGTGAGGGAGTGAGTGAGGCAGAGTGAGGGAGTGAGTGAGGGAGATTCAGTTTATGGTGCTGGACGAGGCGGATCAGATGCTGGCGGTGGGGTTCGAGGAGGATGAGGAGGATGAAGGGGATGAGGGGGAGGATGAGGAGGAGAGGGTGAGGAGGGTGAGGAGGACGAGGAGGACGAGGAGAGGGCATTCGCCTGCTGTGCGTGTTCGCCCTCTTTGCGTTGGGGGCCACTGCTTACCCCGTTACTCACCCTCCCTTCTCCCCTAACCGACTCCCCTTCCCACATACCCACAGGTGGGCGAGCAGGAGGAGAAGCTCGCGGAGGGCATTCTCCTGCTGTGCGTGCGCAGGTCTACTGCTCGCCCCGCCCCTCACCGTCCATTCCCCCACCTTCCCCCTCTCTGTATGTGCCTCGCAGGTGGGC